TCGGGGCCAGAGGTAAGCCCGGGCTCTCCTTTATAAGGGGGGGGGCTTCCGAAACTACCCTCCTCCCCCCCTTTTGGAAGCATTTTTGAGCTGGGGGGACCCTGGCTAAAGGGAAGGGGGGCTTCGAAGCTAACCCCCCTTCCCCCCTTTTCGGGGCCAGAGGTAAGCCCGGGCTCCCCTTTCTAGGGGGGGGTCGGAAGCTTAGCTTCCGGCTGCAACGGAAGGGGGGGTAGCTGCTATACCCCCCCTTCTTTTGCAGCCGGGCTCACGCGGGGGCTCGCTATCGGGGTCGCGCGCGCGGCGCGGCGCGCGTTGTGGGTGCGGGCCAGTGGGCAGGCCTTCGGACTCTGGTTCGTTGTTTTGATTCTCGTTTTCTCTGCTTTAGTTTTTTTGTTTTTCGTGCCCTGGTTCTTGATCTCGTTGTCATGTTTTCTCGGTCCCTGGGTCGTGGTGTCATTTTCCTCGGGCCCTTGTTCGTTTTCTCGTTTTATCGTGTTCTCGGCCCCTGGGTCGTGGTCTCGTTTTCTCTGACCCTGGTTTGTTTTTTGTGTTCTCGGCCCCTGGGTCTTCCCCTTAGGCCTACCCTACCTGCCCGACCCGACCGCTCGTTAGGGTCCGCCCGCCCGACCCGACCCGACCCGCCCGACCCGCCCGACCCGACCCGACCCGACCCGACCCAACCCGCCCGTTAGGGTACTCGCGTGTCAATTCGATCACGCACCGCAATTTAATGTTACGCCCGACCCGACCAGCTTGCTTGGGTCCGCCCGCCTGGCCCGACCCGACCCGCCCGTGAGGGCCCGCCCGCCCGACCCGACCCGACCCGCCGTTAGGATTCTCGCGTATGAATTCGATCACGCTCCACACTTTAATGTCTCGCCCGCCCGACCCGATCCACCCGTTAGGGCCCGCCCGACCCGACCCGACCCGACCCGCCCTTTGGGATCGTCCCGCCCGACCTGGCCCGACCCGACCCGCCCGTTAGGGTATTCGCGTTAAAGTCCCGCCCGCCCGACCCGACCTGCTTGTTAGGGTCTGCCGTGCGACCCGACCCGATCAGCCCGATCGGGCCCGCCCGGCCGACCCGACCCGACCCGACCCGCCCGTTAGTGTCCTCGCCTGTGAATTCGATCATGCACCACACTTTAATGTCCCGCCCGCCCGACCCGACCCGCCAGTTAGGGTCCGCCCGCCCGACCCGACCCGACCCGCCCGATAGGGCCCGCCCGCCCGACCCGACCCGACCCGCCCGCCAGGGCCCCCACGTGTGAATTCGATAATGTCCCACCCGCCCGACCCGACCCGCCCGTTAGGGTCCGCCCGCCCGACCCGACCCGACCCGCCCGATAGGGCCTTCGCGCGTGAGTTCGATCATGCACCGTGCTTTAATGTCCCGCCCGCCCGACCCGACCCGCCCGATAGGGTCCGCCCGCCCGACCCGACCCGACCCGACCGTTAGGGTCCGCCCGCCCGACCCGATCCGACCCGCCCGTTAGGGCATTCGCGCGTGAACTCGATCATGCACCACACTTTAATGCCCCGCCCTCCCGACCCGACCCGCCCGTTAGGGTCCGCCCGCCTGACCCGACCCCACCCGCCCGTTAGGGTCCGCCCGCCCGACCCGACCCGACCCCTCCGGTAGGGTTCTCGCGTGTGAACTCGATAAGGTCCCACCCGCCCGACCCGACCCGCCCGCTAGGGTCCGTCCGCCCGACCCGACCCGACCCGCACGATAGGTCCCGCCCGCCCGACCCGACCCGACCCGCCCATTAGGGCTCTCGCGTGTGAACTGGATCACGCACCACACTGTAATGTCCCGCCCGCCCAACCCGACCCGCCCGTTAGGGCCCGCCCGCCCGACCCGACCCGACCCGCCCGTTAGGGTCCGCCCGCCCGACCCGACCCGACCCGCCCGTTAGGGCACTCGCCCGTGAGCTCGATCACGCACCACACATGTCCCGCCCGCCCGTCCCGACCCGCCCATTAGGGTCCGCCCGACCCGACCCGACGCGACCCGCCCGTTAGGGTATTCGCGTGTCAGTTCGATCACGCACCGCAATTGAATGTCCCTCCCGCCCGACCCGGCCCGCCCGTTAGGGTCCGCCCGCCCGACCCGACCCGACCCGCCTGTTAGGGATCATCCCGCCCGACCAGACCCGACCCGCCCGTTTGGGCTCTCGCGTGTGAATTCGATCATGCACCACATTTTAATGTCCCGCCCGCCCGACCCGATCCACATAGGGTCCGACCCGACCCGACCCGCCCGTTAGGGTCCGCCCGCCCGACCCGACACGACCCGCCCGTTAGGGTATTCGCGTGTCAATTCGATCGCGCACCGCAATTTAGTGTCCCGCCCTACCGACCCGACCCGCCCGTTAGGGTCCGCCCGCCCGGCCCGACCCGACCCGCCCGATAGGGCCCGCCCTCCCGACCCAGCCCGACCCGATCTCGTTAGGGTTCCCGGATATGAGCCCGACCGATCATGCACCACACTTTAATGTCCCGCCCGCCCGACCCGACACGCCCAGTAGGGTCCGCCCGACCCGACCGACCCGCCCGTTAGGGTCCGCCCGCCCGACCCGATCCGACCCGCCCGTTAGGGCATTCGCGCGTGAGCTCGATAATGTCCCACACGCCCGACCCGACCCGCCCTCTAGGGTCCGCCCGCCCGACCCGACCCGACCCGCCCGGTAGGGTCCGCCCGGCCCGACCCGACCCGACCCGCCCGTTCGGGCTCTCGCGTGTGAACTGGATCATGCACCACATTTTAATGTCCCGCCCGCCCGACCCGACCCGCCCGATAGGGTCCGCCCGCCCGACCCGACCCGACCCGCCCGTTGGGGCCCGCCCGACTCGGCCATACCCGCCCGTCAGGGTTTTCGCGTTTGAACTCGATCATGTACCACACTTTAGTGTCTTGCCCGCTCGACCCGACCCGCCCGTTAGGGTCCGCCAGCCCGACCCGACCCGACGTGCCCGTCGCCGGCGACGTCGTTATCCTTTTCCTCCTGTTGTTTCCGCTCTCGTTCCCGGCCGCGTTGTTGCCTTCCTCTCGCCTTTGTCTCCGCTGTCGTGTTCGCCTTCGTTCTCGCTTTCGTTTCGCCTTTGTTCTCGCATTTGGTTTCGTCTTCGTTTCGCTTTCGTTCGCGTTATCGTTTTCGTTCTCGCCTTCCTTTCGGTTTCGTTCCGCTGTCGTTTCCGACAGCATTCTCGATGTTGTTTTCGCCTTCGTTTCCTTTTCGTTGCTCCGCGGGTGCGTTCGCTTCCTGGGTCGCACGGAACGTGGCAGATTACGCAGGAGCACGGCTGAGCACGCAGACGCACGGCAGACCAAACATATTCGCGGCCGACCAAGCAGAAACACGACTGACGATGCAGGGGCACGGCGGAGCACGCAGGAACACGGCTGATCAAGAAGGAACAGGGCAGAGCACAAAGCAGCACGGCAGAGCACAGAGGACCACAGCAGACCACGCAGCAGCACGGCAGAACATGCGGGAACACGGCAGACCGCCAGGAACGCGGCTGACCAAACCAACCGGGTATTCCCAAACCAATTGGTTTGGGAATACCTGTTTAAACGGGCCTTCCCAAACCACCCGGGTCTTCCCAAACCACAACGGCCGGGTCTTCCCAAATTGACCGGGCTTTCCCAAACCAAACGGGCCTTCCCAAACCACCCGGGTCTTCCCAAACCACAACGGCCGGGTCTTCCCAAACCAACCTGGTCTTCTCAATCCGAACGGGCCTTCCCGAACCACCCGAGTCTTCCCAAACCACAACGGCCGGGCTTTCCCAAATCATCCAGGTCTTCCCAAACCGAACGGGCCTTCCCAAACCATTTGGGTCTTCCCAAACCACAACGGCCGGGTCTTCCCAAACCACAGCGGCTGGGTCTTCCCAAACCAACCGAGTTTTCTCAAACCGAAGCCCAGGTCTTCCCAAACCGAAGGTCTGGATTTTTCCATACCAACTGGGTGCCTTCCCAAACCACGAGAGCAGGCCGGGCCTTCCCAAACCACCACGGGTCTTCCCAAACCACCACGCGTGTCTTCCCAAACCACAACGTCCGAGTCTTCCCAAACCAACTGGGTCCTCCCAAACCACAACGGCTGGGTCTTCCCAAACCACCCGGGTGTTCTTCCAAACCGCAACGGCCGGGTCTTCCCAAACCAACCGGGTCTTCCCAGACCAGACCAAGCGGATCTTCCCAGACCAACCGCGTCTTCCCAAACCAACTGCGTCTTTCCGAACCACGAGGCCCGGGTCCTCCCAAACCAACCGCGTCAAACCAACCGGGCCCGGGGGGGGACAAGAAAGGGGGGGGGTAGCTTCCAGCTGGGATGGTCCAAGGGGGGGGGGGTAGCTAAGCTCCCCCCCTCCCCCTTTTTGAAAGGGGGGGAGGGGGGCGATAGCTTCCGGAGCGGCAGAAGGGGAGGAGGGGGGGAGGGGTAGGGTAGCTTCCGGGGTGGACCAAAAAGGGGGAGAGGGGGGGGTAGCTTCCAGCAGAGGGGGGCCAAGGGGGGAGGGGGTAGCTAAGGGGGGTCCCCCCCTTTGCGAGTTCCGCGCGCACGCACTTTCGAATGTTTAATACACGATTCGCTTCCTGCGTGAAGAATGTCATGAGTGCTTATGTTAATAAAGATGTGCTCTTCCAAATTTGGCCCTTCATGTCGATATTCGTTCTTGAAAGAAGTCAGTCTTTAACTCGGCGCCGCCGTGGGCGTATTGCCAGAATAGCAGTGACCTCAACCGCGGAGGGGGGCAAACACGTAATCGATGAGTGAAAGGCGCGGAGATACTGAAAGTTTCACGCATGTTGGCAGCCAGGAGTGAATGCGCGGTCTGCGTGGCACCATTGCAGGCGTGCTCCACGCCAGGGTTTTGGTCGAGACATACAACATACTTTTCCAAATGAGTTCCAAGCTGCTTTACACGGGGGTGGTGCCTCCGATTTCGTAAGTTCAAAGGCGGGTGGAGAGAGAGAGAGAGTCGTGGCAGGATCAGCTGGTCGATCAGATGAAGGAGACCAGCGGCACATCCTCGAAGGTCTGCAAGTACGACCGCGACTGCAAGTCCTTGAATTGTACGGACAGACTCTGCAGCATGCTGGGGTGCGGTTGGAAGACAGGCGGATATGGGAGGACAAGGAGGAACCCACCACACTCTGGAGGCTCGGAAGGGGAGCCAGTTGAGACAACGGCGGCTCCCCTGCCTGGCCCAGCTCTGCTCAAAACCGGTCCCCGGACCCAGCCGTGGCAACGAAAAATCCCCAGGAGCCTCAGAGAGGACGACAAACGCTGGGGAGGGCTGCCGTCGTCTCGACTGGACCTCCTCGAATCGTAGTGTGATGGATTGTTTCTGTTGCCATCTTCCTCGAATTGCAGCGTCATGGCGACATTGGCTGGCCAGGGGTCCCAAGGGGCGCCCCCGCATGCTTGGCCAGTCCGCCTCCTGCTCATATCTCCACCACCTTCGTCTTCGTCGTCCTCGTAACGTCCTCTTCTCCCTCTTTGACCTCCTCCTCCCGCCTCGTTCTCCATAGCCACTTTAGCTCAATAGTTTCAGATTCGCTGAAGACCCAGTGGGCACCGCTGTTCACCGGCTTGCGTTCGTGCTTCGCCAAGTCAGTCCCTGGCAGAGTGAGGGTTGGGCCGCGCCAGCAGTAGCATCCGTCTTTCAGTGAGCTCCTGGAGGGGCAGCATCTCGACACACCGCCTCTCCCATGCATATGAAGTCGTCGTGCTGCTTGATACTGGCGCAGCACTGCACGAAGGCCTTGCGCTCCCAGAGCGCCTTCTGGAAGGCTGCCTGGAATTTCGCGGCGCTTCTTCTCGGATGCTTTGTTGGCATGGTTTCCGGCCCTCGTCATATCGTCCAGCCGTCGACGTGAAAAATCATCATGCCAAGCCGATGATCGCCATCCCGATCTTCCAGACCCCCACCTCACATTAGTCGACCTCGAGGTTGAGGCTTCCGTAGGGTCTGGCTGAAACGTAGCCACCGCTTGCGAGGCGCGCATGCGAAACCGTACATGGGCTTGAAGGAGTGCGCGCGTCGTCGTCTCTCATGCGGTGTGTCGGCGTAGATGTGACTCATTTCCTTTTCGGTCTCGTCTGGCAGGAAAGAGGGGATGCGGCGGCTGCGTCCAGCTTCCACATGTGGCGTGCCGCCATGGCGAGCAGTAGTTAGCGAGTTCGCCGTGAGCCGACTGGAGACTAGACGAAGCCGTAGAAGAACTGGGTCGTTGAAGCTGGGCGCCACGAGCCTTGCCTTTCCCTTGCTGACCTTGCTCAATTCATCGGTCTTCCTTGTCAGGACAATGCCTTGTACTTGAGAAGTTTGGCGGAGTCGATTCCCCGACGGCTTTGGATCCTCACGACCTTGGTGCGCAGTAACGAGGTATATTCGGTATCCATTGCAGCCTTCAACAGCGTCTTGTCTGCTGCTTTCTCGCAGATATCTCGATTCGGTCTTTGCGAGCCTCAGAGGCGACGGAGCTCTCGAGTTGTCCATTTAAGAACAGAAGGCTGCTTCGTTAGCGACACGGACATTTAGCCCGGTCACCTCGTTTCGAGAAATTCGCGGGCGGGCCAGAGCCCCATTGGTGTTCTCGTCGCCATCAGTCTCGTGGTTCTGCCCGCTTCCTCCGCGAATGGGGGGCAAACATCAATGGTCGGAGGCCCGTACGGGTTGGTTCAGCCCCCCCATCCTCGCAGCCCCGATGGCGCCTCCGATGCCGCTGGCGCATTCGGCGCGCCGTGGGGAGGGGGGGTCAGCACCAGCCCAAGCCCTTCTCCTCCTCCCTCCTCCCTCATCGCCTCGCGTCCCTTCTGTGCCCTCCCTTCTGCTCCCCCCTTCTCCCTCCTCCTCCCTTCTCCTCCCCTCCTTCTCCCTCCTCCTCTCTTCTCTGCCCCCCCATTCTCCCTCCCTCCTCCCTCCTCCTCCCCTTTTCCCTCCCCCCCTCCCTCCTCCCTCCCTCCTCCCTCCTCCTCCCTCCTCCCTCCTCCTCCCTCCCTCCTCCTCTCCTCCCTCCCTCCTCCCTCCTCCTCTCCTCCTCCCTCCTCCTCCCTCCTCCCTCCTCCTCCCCCCCCTTTCCCCCCTCTCCTCCCACTTCTCCCTCCTACTCCCTTCTCCTGCCCTCTCTTCTCGGCTCCCCTCGCTTCTCCTCCCTCCTCCCTTCTCACCCCCTCTTCTCCTCCTCCCTCCTCCCCTCCTCGCTTTGTCGTCCCCGATCCCGTTGCCGTCCCGTCGAATTCCTCGAAGAGCAAAAAACGTCATCAGCATATAGGGTCTGACTTTCGGAGGTCCGCGCGGATGTCTTGGCTCAGCGTTACTGGCATGAGCAGGAGGAGCAGCGGCAGCAGAAGCGCCCACCGACGAGCGGAGGTTAATGTGACTCGTTTTCTGCGTAGGAGGAGTTTCTTACTTACGTTATCCTCGGCTTCGCTGCTATTCCCCCCCCTGGTGGGGGCCTCGCCCACCCCCTGGAGGAGTGTGTGGGCAGCTCGATTATGTTCCCAGGTGCGAGCACACTGACCTTGAGGGAGACCTTAAAGGTAAACATCAGAGCTCATAAGAAGAGATCCCAAAATGGCAGGGCAAGGCCAGTTTACGCGTGAGGGCAAGTGCGCATCGCGGCCTGGTTCAGAGAGCCCTCCTTCTCAACAGGGGGAAGCGCGAGACCACGTATCGTGCAGCGCGAAGTTGATCGACCCTGAAGTCGGGAAGGACGAGTATGAGGTTGATAAAGTTCTTAACCGTTGTAGCGCACAGCGGGGCGCCAAGCTTACAAAGAGCAATTCTGGCTCTGGTCTGGCTCGTCTGGTTGGTCTGGTTTGAGCTTCGTCTTGCGGATCTGGGCGAGAGTGGTTTAGGGAGTTCCGGGGAGGCAGTGCCAACCACCACGACGACCGAAATACAGTTTTGTTTGCATTGTTGTTTTTTGTTGCTTTGCAGTGTTTTTGCATTGCAGTTTTTTTTTGCATCTGATCTGGCTGGTCTGGTTGGTCTGGTTTGAGCTTCGTCTTGCAGCCTTAGCTCAGGATCCGAGCGAGAGTGATTTAGGGGAGGTCCGGCGAGGCGGCGCCAACGACCACGACGACGACGAAATGCAGTTGTGTTTGCATTGCTGTTGTTTGCTTTGCAGTGTTTTTGCATTGCATCTGGTCTGGCTTGGTCTGATTGGTCTGGTTTGAGCTTCCTCTTGCAGCCTTAGCTCAGGATCCGGGCGAGAGTGGTTCCGTAGCCATTTTGGCTCAAGTCTCACTTGGCCCCCGCTCGGGGGCCAAAGGGGGCTTGAGCGCCGTCGCCTGTCTGGCTCAGCGGCGCCGTGGACAGCCACCTGCAGCCCACAACGAGGCAGAGGCTGCTCCGCTTTTGATTCTGTGCACTTTGCAGCTCGCACACCTGTTCTGTTGCCGCGATGGGGAAGTCGCGCACTGCAGAACGTCATACCCGTCGAGGTGCTCGACGATCGGATGCTCGCTCACCCTCTCCCTCGTCGACTTCCGCCTCTTGCACTCGCCGCTCCGCCGGCCGCAGTCCTGGCCGTGCTGAGGACCGTGACGAGATCTCGCTGGCCCGACAGCTTCGCGACGTGACAGGAACGCTCCCCTCGATGCACCAGATGATGATGCAAAATTCGCAGGACATGAACCATTTAAGGACCAATGTCCAAAACAGTTTCACCAGATGCTCGCAGTTGTCGGATCAAGTGGTGTTGCTCGGTCAGGACGTCAAGAGAACGCATGAGGATCTGCAGAATCACGTAGCTTGTGCACTCAAGGAGATGGACCAGAAGGTCGCCCTGCTCCAGACGGGCGTGACATCGAGCTCGCAATCGCCCTCGTCAGAGATCCCCATGGACACGGACTCCGTCTCCACAACAATGCAGACTAAGTTTGACAAGATAGAGGCCTCCCTTGTGGGTCTTCTCTCCCGCCAGATGTCTACAGAACGGCGGTGTGCCGAACTCCAGTCCACTTCGACGCCAGGCTCGACCTCGCCAAGGACTGCCCGAGCCACTCCCGCACAAGACAAAGGGCAGTTGCAGGATCAGACGCGCAAATTGGTGCTATTGCGGCACCCGAGGAAGATGCTGGTCAAGGACTTGCGTATGATTGGAGATCAATGCCGTACACCTCGCTCGATGCTGAACAAAATGCAGTTTTGCAGCCAGAGTCTCGGAATTTCTTGTCCTAGACAAGCGGCTGAAGACACCACCGGCGCTGGCCAGACCCTGGGGACAATTCTTCAACTTGATGTTTTCCTGGGGTCGTGTGGGCGCCCACTTGGGCCCCACTTGGGTTCGGCTGGGCCCCACTTGGGTTGGGCTCAGGCCCCATCTGGGCCCCACTTGGACTCGGCTGGGCCCCACTTGGATTTGGCTCGGGCCCCAATTGGGCCCCACTCGGGCCCCACTTGAATTCGGCTGGGCCCCACTCGGGTCGGGCTCGGGCCCCACTTGGGCACCATTTGGATTCGGCTGGGCCCCACTTGGATTTGGCTCGGGCCCCACTCGGATTCGGCCGGGCCCCACTTGGATTCGGCTTGGGCTCGGGCCCCACTTGAATTTGGCTAGGCCCCACTTGGATTCAGCTGGGCCCCACTTGGGTTGGGCTCGGGCCCCACTTGGGTTGGGCTCTTGCCCCACTTGCTTGGGCCCCGCTGGGATTTGGCTCGGGCCCCACTTTGGGCCCCACTTAGATTCGGCTGGGCCCCACTTGGGTTGGGCTCGGGCCCCACTTGGGCCCCGCTTGGGTTCGGCTCGGGCCCCACTTGGATTTGGCTCGGGCTTCACTTGGATTCGGCTGGGCCCAGCTTGGGTTGGGCTCGGGCCCCACTTGGGCCCCACTTGGAGTCGGCTGGGCCCCGCTTGGATTTGGCTCGGGCCCCACTTGGGCCCCGCGATGCGGATTAGGGACAGACAGGAGATGCGCGTAGCGCATTTGCCAACGCAGCCTCCGTGCACATTACATTATCATACGCAGCACGTCGCGCAATCGTGCACGGTCGCATGTTTTCATGTACATGCCGAGCCCCTGGGCCAGACCTGGACACTTCTTAATGATGTTTAAGAAACCAGCCGG